TTGCACCCTCTTGATCAAGAGAAAATTGCCTTGTCAAGATTTTCTGTCTCTTGTGTGTCTGTTTTTGGCATGGGAGGGTTATCAATTCCAACATCTTGAACCTCAATCCTCCTGATCTCAGCCTTCCAGTAGCTAGAATTGCAGGTGTGAGCCACCAGCGCCCAACTTCCAAGGATTTTTTTTTTAAACCAGAGCAACTGGGAAAGTTAAATTGCTATTGGCTGAGATGAGGATGGCTTTAGGAGGGGCCCCTGTTGACTGAAAGATCAGGTATTCAGATGTGTACATGTTGAGTTTGAGGTGTCTATTAGATGTCCAAGTGGAGGTGCATACAAACTCTGCCTCCAAGGTGCTCAAAGATAGTGAAATAGAAATATGGAAGAAGATCATTAAAATACTTGTGAAAAGTGCTATTTCAGAGGGGTGGCAAATTGTTCACTTTATTTGAATGGGAGAGGTCTTAAATTTCCTAAGCTGGGTGCCGGGTGGCTCACGCCTGTAATCCTATCTACTCAGGAGGCAGAGATCAGGAAGATTGTGGTTCAAAGCCAGCCCCAGCGAATAATTCTCAAGACCCTATCTCAAATAAAAACATCACAAAAAAAGGCTGGTAGAGTGGCTTTAGGTGTAGGTCCTGAGTTCAAACCCCAGTACTACAGAAAAAAAGAAAAGAAAAAATGACATCTTTTACATTTGTAAAAGAGATGACATCTTTTACTTTTCCTGAAAAGTACACTGGTGTTCATCAGGTGGAGAACAGAAGGTGTCGTGTTTTCTTAGACCCTAGCACACAGTGGTTGCTCAATCAGACCCAATCCAGCCACCAGTTGTGTGACCTTGGATATTACTTAACTTCTGTGAGACTCGATTTCTTTATCTTTGAAACGAAAATAATCATAACGTTTTCGTAAAGATTAAATGGAGAACACTTAATACAACACCTAATACAGAGTTATAGTGTTAATCATTACTGTTGAATGAATGAGTGAACGAATGAATGAATGTCTTCCTTAATGATGACGTCTAGGCTGTACTGGTAACCTGGAAGTTCAAAGCCTTTTATATGCTTAGCAGTTTGTCAATTGAGAGTGCCAGATTCCTTTCTACTTCCTAAAAGTGGCTCAGGGAAAAAAAAAAAGCCCCCAACAGCCTGGACCTTTTAAACTGCTCTGATTGAAGAATAAGAATTGCTAAGCTTGTAGGGAACAAAGAAGGTCAAATTGTCCTCCCAATGTCATCCTGCCCCCATCTCATCTCCTTTGATTCCTTCCTCGCATCCTCTTTCTTTCCCTCTTATTTTGTTTTCTCTTTCTTTTTGCAACGCTAGGGATCAAACCTACATCCCCAGCCTTTGGTGTTTTGAGCCAGTCTCGATATGTAGCACAGGTTGGCCCTGAACTTGCAATCCTCTTGCATCCCAGTCGTGGGTCACCACACCCGAAGTCCTCTTTTCATTTGTTAATAAATCTGAGTAAAATCTTTTCAGATTCAAATGAGTTTTTCTCCCCACTCCACAGGCGCTGACACTTAGAATGGACCGGGTTGACAAGCCTGGGAGGAGGTCAGCAATGCTCTTTGACAGTAGAAACCCCTCCTATCTGGTAGGGCTCGAGCAGGAAGCCCTAGGGAGACAGGCGCCCCCTGCGGGTCGAAAGCACCCCCCACTCCCCTGCAGGCGGCTGTGGTTGCTAGGCGACCGGGCGTTCTGCTCCCAGACTAAGGCGATGCAGGAATTCGGAGAAGGGACTTGGGAGGAGCGAGGCCATTTCTCTCCTTCCGTCGCCTCTCCCGCGCGCTCAGCAAACAGACTGGGTTGGGGCGGCGCTACTCGATGCTGTCTCATAATCTGAGCTCATTCTTGAAAATAGAGCTTCATGGAGTGACTTCACTCAGTTTCTGAGTTTCATCTGGGGGGCTGGAGACCCCAAGTCGCTGGAGGCAGAAGTTTCTGATTTGAAAGGACTGGAGGACAGGCATTGTTGGTGTGCGTCCTTAGTCAATGGGAATTCTAGCAAATTGAGAGTGGGTGGGAATAATTTTGGTGATTGGTCCGGTTAAGGTATCAAGATTTGTCCACTATTCTCAATGTATGCATAGGAACCTCCTTCTTTAGCCAATTAAAATAAAAATATCCCACAGGAGTGACAACATATAAAGGATCATACATACCTCACTGGGGGACAAGTTTCTTAGTGGCTTTCCTGAATTAGGTTTCTTTATGGAGAAGGGAGGGATCATGAGGTCTGTGGACCCCTAGAGTAGGGACAGAGCCCAACAAGAAGGAAAGAAATGCAAAGAATGAGGGCTTCCTAGTTCTGTGTCTTGTTTGGGGACCCACAGCTTGTGCCTCTCTGCTAGGAACATGCTGGAGCACCCTGTCTTTATGAGGGTCTTTGGGGACCAGAACTCCACAGCTTTTCCTCCCAGTGAGCTAGCACTTTGGCCCAAGAGGTAGGGACAGGCAGGCCAAGGCCATGACCAAAATAACCTCTCCATTGGGACTCGCCTCCGCCCTCTCAGCTAGTTCAACAGAAGCTTCTTTGTGGCAGAGCCCCAAGCCATGGTAAGCTTAGGGGAGAGCTGTGTCCAGGTGTGTCCTTGTGGACTTTCCCTAGGGAGTTCCAAGGTAGCTACACCATGTTGAGGTAACTGGCAGCCAGAGAGCATCTGGCCCCGCCACTGCCCCAGTCCACAACATTCCCACAAGGCAGGATGGTGGGGGAGGGGGGGAAGCTCCTTGCTCCCTCTGTTTCCAAATTGAACTGGGTCGGGGCTGTGCTGTTCGCTCTATTAATATCCCCCCAGCCCAGCCTGCTAGCCCCAAACCCGGATGCCAGGAGCTGTGAGTCAGCGCCCAAAAATAACGAGCAACTGCACCCAAATCCCAGTGAGCAGCTCCCCCTGGCCCTCCTCCCTCGAATGTTTGTCAGTCTGTCTCTGGTCCGTGGCTTCCTGGAGGGTCAGTGATCCTGAGGAGAAAGGAAGGGTTCGCGGTGGCAGGCTTGGGGCTGAGTACCCAAGCCAGGGGCTAGGGGCTGGCACTCTGGTTCGCAGTGTGGGCGCTGAGGTTACAGGACTGCAGAGATCCTGGGAGCGAGGGGTTTAGGGCAGCTCGGGTGGAGATGCTGGAGGTGGACAGGGTGAGGTCTGGAGGCTGCGAGCCTGCGCGACTGATAGGGACAGAAAAAAAGGGATGTGGGGGAGGAGGTACATGCTGAGAAGCGACAGCCCGGTAGTACCTGACAGGCTGGGGACTCCGGGGCTGAGGTCAGTAGTCGGCATGACTGAGGGTCGGGATCGGGAACCAGGGAAAGCAAGGAAATGCAGCTTGCAAGGCAGTGCGTGAAGGAGACCTGCCCGGTGCAAGGCGGCGTGGCCCCCCAAGACCAGGACCAGGGCAGTAGCCACGGAGTTGGCTCCCAGTGCACCTCCTGCCCTCCCGCGCGTCGCGCGCCGAGACCCCAGTCCCCCGCGCCAGCTGCAAGCCAGGTACATAGGCGTGGACCTCTGCTTGAGTGTGTAGGGGTATGTGTGTGCATGATGGGGCAGGGTCCACAAGAAGGGGGCGGGAATACAGATTCAAATTCGCCTGTCAATCCCGAGACCGGAAGTGTCCTGAGGCACAGTGGGAATTGTAGTTCCCGTAGCTCCCCTGCAACCGAGGAGGTAGGGTCTTGTCCCAAGGTGCTAGTGCTGCCCCAGGTCCCAGTCTGGCGGGAAAGGAGTCTTCTGGTCTGGTCAACGCCTTAATTCGACTGGCCTTCGTGTGGAGGCATGAACTAGGATGAACGTCAGTGTAATGGACTGTAAGGACAGCCCCAGAATCCCCTCCTGTCCCTGTTTTTGCCTTACCTCCCCCACCCCCGTCTACTTGACTCCTCATTCTAGGCCAGCTCCTCACTGGCCACCTGAGCTTCTTAGCCCATGGCCTCACGAGCTGCAAACACAGTGGAGAACTCGCTTCTTGAGGGGGAAGGCGGGCCGGAAACCAGAAACTGCGTACAGTCCAGTGGAGCAAAAACTTGTGGAAATCAGACTGTGCCCTCAGAGTCCAGGGTCAAGGACACAAGTCTCCAACCCTCACGTTAAACAGTGGCATTCATCAAATACTTTACGGGGACGACAGACACAACCCTCTTCCTGGGGCGGGTGACCACAAGGTGGAGCTACAACGCAACCCTGCATAATGCATGTGGGCCCCCAGGAACGCCCCGTGGCAGCTTGCCGCTGGCAATCCTTCTTTGCCGCAGGTGATTGTCCTCCCACCTCCAACCCCACAATATCTCCCAGATGACCCCTCAATGTCAAGTCACATCCAACCCTTAGACAGAAGGTGCATCCTCTCAGACCCAGAGCCAAAAAGATTAGACTGACTAAAAGTGAATTAAATTCATTTAGTAACAGATTAACATACAAGATACAGGAACCACCTAGTCTTGAAGAAAACGCTGTGCACAGCAAAAAGCCACCTGTAGGCACAGAATTAACATGGCTATCTGGGCTTTTTAGCTCCTAGCCTCTAAGCAGGAAAGCAGAGGGTCAGGGACACAGTGCATAGAGTGAGGACTGTGTTCATCATCTTGTAGTTTGCCAGGAAAGGCCATCTTACCATCTTCGGTCACTGTTCATGCTGTTCCACTTCAACACCCTGTGCCTTTCGTCCAAGAACATGTGTGCACAAGTCCGTGACATAATCTTGGCAATATCCCTTTTACTTCCTCATTCTAATTTCATTTTGGGAAGAAATTCTCATCACTCACTGTCTTCCAAAATACTTCACGTGAAAAACCCCAAAGGCAGTAGATTCCATAGCAGCTTGAGGCATGCCCGTCATGTAGGCAGAGGGCCTTCCTGGTTCAAAATCTCCTGTTGGGAAAGTCCCATCCCCCACTGCAACCCATCACCCCAAGGTATTCCACCTCAGCACCTCTCCTTTCCTTATAGTTGACCAAAAGCAGACAGCCCTTAGATTCCAGCTGGTGGGGGCCAGGGTGGAGCATTCATTCTGAGCTGAAATTGTTGATTCTGTTCAACAGCACTGCTGTTTCTAAGCCTGGAGAGGTGCAGAGAGGGAGGGTCACTTAGGGAGTGAACTAGAGAAGGCTAGGAGGAGAAAATGAGGTGGGCTGGGGTGGGGGGAGGACGGAGGGGAGGGGCTTCTCACCAGTTCTCTCTCTTTCCTTAGCGCATCTCCTACAGAGAGAAAAATTTTCCATTGTGTCAGCTTCTAGCTAGACCTTCCACCCTGGGGTCCCCCAAACTGCTTTTTCCAGGTTCAAGCCAATTTGGTAATATAAGAAAGAGCTTAAGATTCTCAAAGGAAGCCTGGCACTGGTGGCTCACTCCTGTAATCCTAGCTACTCTGGAGGCAGAGATCATGAGGATAGTGGTTTGAAGCCAGCCTGGGCAGATAGTTCTCCAGACCCTATCTCAAAAGAAACCCATCACAAAAAAGGGCTGGTAGAGTGGCTCAAGGTGTAGGTCCTGAGTTCAAGTCCCAGTACTGAAAATAAAAAAAGGAATGGAACAGACTAAACCTCCAGCCTCAGGCAGCAAATATGAGTCTGAATCAGCTTCATCACCAGGAGCCTGGGGAAGGCACAATGCACTCACCCCTGGAGAAGGAAGGTCCAGAAAAGCAGCAGGGTAGAGACACAATTGGCAATGATCCACATCATTAAGTAGGTTTGAGGGGGCTATGGGAATAGGAAAAGGCCCCTGTCAGTGGCCAGACTCCCAAGGGGAGGATATGGGGGGATAAGTAAGTAAGAGAGGGACAGTAATCAAGGAGCACTAGAGATGGGAGAAGAGGAGCAGTGATAGTCCCAGAGCCCTTACAATAAGCCAGATGGGGTAATTCATCTGCTGCAGCAGCTGGCAGTCGTTGGTGGTGACTGAATCCACCCCTGCACACCAGAGCAGGGAGAAGAGCCAGGGTTTGTTCACTACAAATAGGTTCACTGAAACATTATCCTGGTGCAGTGCCCTGTGGAAGCAGGAAAGAAGAGGGGGAACATCCAGAATTGTGGTACACAAGGCATGGGGAGAGCCCCTGCTTATGCTTGAATCTGCAGTGTCACTGCCAAGGGCTATTGGTTCTAGCAGCCCCTGACCAAGGTGATTTTCTTTGCATAGATGAACTCTGTCTCCCAGTAGATTCCATCCACAAGTCTTAGCTTTGCTGTCTGGGACCACACAAATGTGTCTCTCCTCCTTGTCCTATGGCAGCCTTTCAGAGATGTGAGGAACAGAGGCCACGGTCTCCCTGAGTCTTCTCCTCTCCAGGTCCAACAGCCCCAGTTCCTTCAATCATTACTGTTGAGACCTGGGTTATTATTTCCTTCAAGCTTTTCTGATCTAACCTTACTCCAATTTATCAATGTTCTTTTGAAAATATGGGGCCTGCCTTTGAACGTGATAACCCAGATGGGCTTGGACCAGCTTTGAGTAGAGCAACGACATCCTCCTGCCTCTGGACACTATGCCTGCATTAGGGCAGCCCAGAGTCAGGTTAGCGTCATCTCCCACTGATTAGTTACTCTGCCCACCATTCAATCAAAGCCATGGTCTTTTCCACACACGGTCCTGCTGATGCCAGTGTGTCTTCTCTTGTGTTTGTGCAATTGAAATTTTTCTGTTCTTCTATCCTTCCTTCCTTCCTTTAGATAGGTTCTTTCCATGTAGCTCAGGATGGCTTTGAACTTTTGATCCTCCTACCTCAGCCTCCCAAGTGCTGGAATTACAGCCGTGTGCCACTACACCTGGCTACAATTGAAATTCTTTTGGGCTCCAAATATAGGCCTTTACATTTATCCCTGTTGCATACCATCTTGCTAGGTGTGGCCCATCCTTTTAAAGCACTTAGGGTTCCAGGGCCTCAACTCCATCATTAGTGTGCTCATTACTAATGAAACATGATCAGCAGTGGATGTTGACCAGGACAAGACTAAGGTAAAGGTTTTTATTTCGTGTCTCCCTCCATGGTGACAATTTGGTCCTTGGAATACTTAGGATAACTGAGTTTTCATTCAGTTCAAGACACCTGGGTAACCTCATGGTTGGAAGTCCATCAGTTTTACCAGCTGTGTCAGCTTCTGGGCCCCAGCTCTCTGGTATTCTTCCAACTTTCTTTCCACTGTGTCCATCCTCTTTTAGCCTGATCTCTTTGATGTAAAATAAAAGGCCCCCTTTTCCTGGCCTACAAGGCCCTACCCCATTTGCCCCCTGCCTACCTTCCCAGCTTCACCTTCCTCTTCTCATTAGGCCGCAGTCCATGCTCTTCTACCACTCTTTCCAGTTAGCTGCTTGTAACCAACCAGGTCTCAGCTGGGACCTTAGCTCTTTAGCTGTTTCCTAGTGTAACTGCCCTGCTCCTCACCAGCCCCTCACTCCAAACTCCAATCACTACATCTCCCTGTTTTGTCTTTATAACATTTACCACTACCTAGTATATATGTATTTTAAGTGGTTTATTGTTTATCTCTTTTATAGTACCTAAATTCCATCAAAGCAGAGACCTTGTATGTCTTACTCATGTTTGTGTCCCCAAATGTGATAAACAGCAAGTGTCCAATAAATATCTCATGCGTGAGTGAATTTTAGTATATGTGCTGCTGAAGCAAGCACTGTGTGAGTGGATGAATAGGTTTTGCCCTCCCTGCATTGGTTTTTTCCTGCCTTGGGATCCCCTTGGTTCCTTTCCTCTGGCACTCACTTGATATCCAATAGTGGTAGGTCTTGATAGGGCAGGTTGAGAAACTGAGGCCTCTCAGTTTTGTTACTTCTCTGCTGTCCATATATCTGGCGCATTCTAGGTGCCCGTAGCTGGACATTAGCCCGATCTTCATCTGGTAGCCAAAGGACCTGTGGGCATGAAACCAAGGAAGATCTAGGGATTCCAGGGACAGGGGCAGGGACAGAGATGTTTGACCACAGAATAGGTGTGGGGGAGGAGGCAGCCTCAAAACCCCCAAGGCCTATGGAAGGCAGGGTGAAAAGAAGGGCAAAAGGGGGCCATTGGGAGCCCTGGCAACATCACCATGGCTTGGGGCACCCTTGCATTCAGCACAGTTTCCAAAGTCTGGTTCACGAAAGTGTCATAGTATGTGTGATTTCTTGGAGGTCGGCGCAAGTCAAACATGATGGAAAGATTGAGGTCCGCGGCTTCCTTCAGTAACTCTTCCAATGCTGGTACTGTCTGATTCTCGGCCTCTTTCCGATCAGGGTCTGACAGCTGTTTGGCCCCCCAGAAAGGTTGCCTCTATTAAAAAGGAAAGTTATTTGAACACCTGAAGAGACATCCAGGCTTTCCCCTCATCCTCTCCATCTTCGCTCACATCCCCCACTTAGTGTCCACCTTCTGCTCACCCCTAAGCCAGGGTCTTTCTTTCTCAAAACTCTGGCTTTGTTCCATCTAATACTTTACTCTGTGACTTCAGCCTCCTCTCCTGCCCTTCTACTTTTCTAACTGGCTTTCTCCCACCACATCTTCTCTTCAGGCTCAAAGAGACTTCTAGGATCTCTCTCTCTCTCTCTCTCTCTCTCTCTCTCTCTCTCTCTCTCTCGGTGGTACTGGGGTTTGTTTGAACTCAGGGCCTTAAATTTGCTAAACAGGTACTCTACCACTTAAACTACACCCTTAGTTTATTTTGCTTTAGTTTTTTTTTTTTCAGGTATGGTCTTGCGTTTTTGCTCCGGGCTGCCCTTGGACCTAATCCAACCACAATCCTCCTGCACTGCTGGGATGACAGGCATGAGCCACCACGCCCAGCTTATTTGATGGGACTTCCCTTTTTGCCTGGGCTTCCCTTGAACCCCAGTCCTCTTTATCTCCACGTTACAAGTAGCTGGAGTTACAGGTACGAACCAGGGCACCTGCCTTCCCTGCTCACGGTCCACCCACAGCTTGAATGATTTTCCACAGTGCTCTTAACTTCCTTCCTGCTCCAATTGCCCTTCAACTCCCAACTCTGATTCAATTCTACACCAGTCTGCCTCCTTTACCCCTAGAACTACTGAGGTCTGAGCACTGCTATGGGCAGGCCACAGCATGGTTACTGTTGGCATTGCAGTCCTGGTTTTCGCTGTACTACTTAGAAAACCTTTTACTTGTTTTTGATTTTGCTCCTCTCTCATTCCTGCTTGTGGCTATTCCAAACCTCTGCCATTCTGCTCTCATTTCCTTATTATGGCCGAATGACCTCACCTCCTAATTGCTCACGTGGATAAAGCTAGCTATCTAACGCTCACTGAGTACTTACTATGTGCAAGATAGTGTTCTGAGTACTTCATGTGTATAACTGACTTAACTCACAAAATAACCCTATAAGGAACGTATCGTTATTATTCCCATTGCACGAAAGTGGAAACTGAGGTACAGATTGTCTAAGGAGTGCTGCCAAATATCATGAAGCTTAGCAAGTGATGGAGCCAGGGTTCACACCACACATTCTTTATTATTTAAGTGGAACTGGAGTTTAAACTCAGGGCTTTATGCTTGCAAAGCAGGCACCCTACCACTTGAGCCACATCTCCAGACCACTTTGGTCTGGTTATTTTTGAGTTGGAGTCTCAAAATATATTTGCCTGGGCTGTCCTTGAACTGTGATCTTCCTTATCTCAGCCTCCCAAGTAGGTAGGATTATAAGCATGAGCCATCAGTGCCTGGCTGACATTCCTTCTTCTTAATCACTCTGATATGCCATCATATATAGAGTTAAATTATATAAAAAAGCAAATTGAAAGAGTCTGTGTCATGATCCTATTTATACAAAATAAAAATATACATATGTAAATACATAATACTATATATATATAGGTAGGTATATATATACACATATATATGCATATGTATCTGTTAAAAGTGAGTATTCACACAGATTGGATTATTGGAGACTTCAGGTTTTAGGTTATTTGTCTGAAGTTTTACTTCTTTAATGAACAGGTATTAAACTTTTGTAATCAGGAAAAGAGATACTGAAAAACTATTCTTTAAAAATTTTTTTGCCATTAGAGTCCATCCTTCTGGGTCCAGCATTCAAAGCCCTTCAAGACCAAGTCTCTGCTTTCCATCACTCCTGTGGATTGTATCTCCCAGTTACATTAAGCCACTTTTTATTCTCTGGAAACATACCTTTCATACTCTGGCCATTACCCATGCTCTTCCCTCTGATTAGAATTCCCTTTCCCAAAGGCTGGGGGTGTAGCTCAGTGGTAGAACACCTACCTAGCATGTGCAAGTCCCTCCCAGCCCTGCAGAAACAATTCCCCAGCCCTGCTTTGCCCATCTTATGAGCAAACGTGTTACATGCTGTTCACAATCTTCCCCTGAGTGAGTCCACTCCTGATCTGCTCCCACACCTGCCCTGCTAAACAGTGACCTCTTTCTCCTCTCTGCCCAGGAAAAATATTTTTATTGCTCTGGGTTTCCTATTCTAATTGTTGTCTAGGCTCTCTTCCTTACTAGGTGGGAGTGACCTGAGGGCAAAGACTGGCCCAGCAAATGTGTCTCCATGGAATGAACTCTGCCCTCTCTGAATACCACTGCAGGTGTCCTCACCTCTAGGAACCAGGCCCCAGCATTGAGTCTCTGCAGTTCAGCCCAGGAGAAGTCACTGCTGTGAGCTGTGATTCGGGCTGGAAACACAGAGGCGACATCCGTGGTCCTGCTCAGCTGCTCATCATGCATGAGGAAGGGGACCCCGTCAGAGCTGAGGGTACAAGAGGTGTCCGAGGGCCAAGCTCTGGGGCTGTTCACCTTATCCTGAGCTCCTCTGCTGTGTCCCTCTGCCCCTCAGATCCCCTAGCCCCACCCTCCATCACCTGACCATCACATCGGTCTCAAACACAGCAGCTCCACATTCAGCTGTCTTCCGCAGGGACATCAGGGTGTTCTCTGGGGCCAGCTGGGAGAGGGAATTGGTGAGGAGGTAGCAGAGAAGGGTTGGCGCTTGGGAACTCACAGGCCTGACCATTGCAGCCCAGAGAAACAGACCCTCCCCACTCTCCCAGCCTTCTGTCCACCACTTACCATGGGGGCCCCTCGGTGTCCCACCAGCCCAGGCTTGGAGGGTAAGTCTCTGGGTTCCATGATGCAGGGTGAGGAGATGCATAGGGGGGCCAGGTAGATGACCAGGGCAACACCAAAAAATAGGAGCAGAAGCATAATCTTGGGACCTGTAGGAAGTGAGGGATAGGCTTTGGGGAAAGGGCAATGGATAGGCTCTAGGGGGCAGAAGGCAGAGCACAGGTGCAGAAAACTGGGCGATTGGTGAGAGGCAGATGCATCAGTGGCCAGCGAGGGTGAGTGGGGGGCGTAGTTGGCACCTCTTGGGCGGATACGGTAGAAGGTATCAGCCACAGGCCAGGCCAGGAGGGTGATTCCAGCGACTGCTCCAATGTGAAGGAATGGGGCTGTGGCCTGTGGACAAGAGCTGGTGAGGAGGGCTCTTCCTACTGTCCCTCACTCTTCTCCTCTTAGGGACTGACTTTTGGAATTTAGAGCTACCTGAAGTGTTTGGAAACCAGGGAGCAACATATGTTCTGGAATTCAGCACAGGCCAAGGCTCCCACCTAGGCATTGGAGATTAGCCACTCACCTGCAGTGACAGACGTAAGCTATGCCACTCCTGCCGCCATTGGATGTCCAGTCCCACAAGGCCAGTGGCCACAAGAAACATAATGAGAAGCAGCAGCACCTGGAGGGGGGTGGCAGGGATGAATGGGGGCCTCTTTGTCAATCTGGGTTCATGGTTACCTGGGCTGTCCCTCACTCTGTTGAGACAGGATTCTTCCTGTCCTCTGACACATCCACTTTCCTTCTTTCACTCAACACATATTTACTGGGTTTCATTCCAGGAGTAGAAAAGTGAAGTCTTCACAAAATGGCCAATTGAGCGCTGGGCCCAGAAACCCCTCTTCCCCTCATTGTCACCCCTGCTGTACCTTGTGGAGACCATGCAGATGCAGAGGCTGTCCACATAGCTGCAGGAGCAGGGCCAGGAGCTGGGGGCACAGGTGTGTGTGTGGGACTTAGGAGGCTCTAAGTAAGGGCGAGGTCACTGAGGGGGGCTTTGTCGTCTGGCACCTCCCTCCCACCCAAGAATTAATGCCCGCCCCCCTTCAGTGGCCAGGAAGAGAACAAGAGAGTAGAGCCAAGCAGGAAAGGACTGAGGTGAGGGTTAGGGTGGCTGCCCCTGGACCCACCAATAGCAGGGATGCATATGTGACCAGTAGAGAGATGACCAGTAGGAATGCCAGGGACCAGTCCATCCAGTGTCCCCAATGGCGGAACAGGAATCTGTGGAACGGGAGAGGAATGTGTCCTCAGTTGGGGAAGTGGTGTCAATAGTGGCCTGAGGGACTTGGGGATGGGTGGGTTCACCGCGAGGGGGTAAGGAGAAAGCCCTTTTTGGGACAGAGGCCAGTAAGGAGTGGGATTTCATGGAGGGGCTTTCTAAGGAGGTTGGGTAGCAGGAGAGCTAGGCTTGAGGGGCTGGGCAGGGCTAGGGATGGTTGAGGTGGGGGTCCTAGGGTGGGAAGTAGGTTGACATGTATGCAGAGGAAGGGATAGGGGTCTATGACACACTCATTGAAGTTGTGCAGGTCATTGAGAAGGATGAGCCCGATGTACAGCCAGCCCAGGGAGAGAAGGAAGGTGAGGAAGAGCAGGCCAAACCAGATACAGTCGCACTGTAAAGGGGCAGGAGAGAAGCTCACAGCCAATCCCCACTTCATGCTCAGAGACCCCAACCATGGCAGCTCATGAGAGCTTCCTGCCATGCATTGGGCAGCTCTGCTCTGGGCAGCTCTTTCCATATTTGAGGGCGATTTTCTTCCTGGGGAGAGAAAACCCCTTCCTCTCTGCTGCCTGTGAGCACAATTGGCCTTTATACTCCCCCCAATCACCATTGCCTTCTGACTTCCAGCCTCCCCTCATCCCCACTCCACCTTGCTGGTTTGCATCCTCTCTTTGGGGCATTTCCTCCAGTGGCAGCTATACAGGCAGTGGAGGCAGCGGGCCCAGATGGAGTAGCAGCCAGGGGACTCGGCCATGGTAAAGGCCTGGGGAAGGACACGGCCATCAGGTACCCTGGCAGAGGGCAGATCCCAGCCTCCCTCCCAGTGTATCTGAAGAGCCTGGGGGAGGGGCAGAAGCCTGGGCCACTGCTTGGCAACAGAGGGAGGTCACGGGGCAGGCCCCAAGTCCAGGATTGGATGAAGTGAGCAGCCTTGGCTTCAAGCTTGGCAAAGAGGGATAGGCTCTGGGGTCTTTTTTTCCCCCTTATTCTTGATACCTGGAAAGCCAGTGAGACATCCAGTGGTTCGGCCTCTCTGCAGGAAGAATGCATACTCACGTTCTCCAGCTCCTCCCTATTTAATAGCATCCAGATCTGGGGTTCGAGTGCTTGCTCAGGGTGCAAACTCAGTAGAAAACTGACCCAGGGTGGGGAAAACTCAGTTCAGCAAGTTGAGGCAGATTTGGCCAAGTTTGAGGCAGTCCATGCTGAGTTATCTTCCACCCCAGGAAGCAGGAGTAACCTGAAGCAATTCTGACCCGAGGCTAAGGGAGGCCCAGCCAGTTGGCTAGTTGCTATGGATACAGAGATTGTGCAAATCACAAAGCCTTGACTGAAAGATTCTCTGTGTCCACTTCCCAGGGGGTAGGGGGCTCTGCCAACAGGAGGAGGATGAGGGGAACAAGTTGCCTGAGTCACTTTCAGTCTTCTAAAGGAAGGAAGTTTTTTCCTATAGCCACACACCTGGAAAATCCAAGTCTTCCTACCGGTAGCCTTGTCCTTTCCTGCCCAGTCATTCTGCCCAGTCATTCCCCACTCCAGCCAGAAACCAAGTCCCCGCCTTCCCCCTTTCAGGGGCTCCACCCTCTTAGGTGAAAGTCCAACACACACAGGGCAAAGGTGTGTGTGGAGAGTGTGGTTGTCTTAGGGCAAGGAATTCCTGAGACCAAGCTGATCCTCAAACTGGGCTAGGTCTGTGATTGCGATTCTACATGAGGAGGTGTATGATTTGTGGCAGGCGCGAATTCTGCCACTGGACCACCAATGCAAGCAAGGGTGTACGATTTGTTTCGGCAGATGTACATGTGTGTGCACTGGTGGCTGCCAGTACAAATGGATTTCAAGATGACTTTGAGTATGTAAAAGAGCCCCTGGATATACCCAATGTGTGTGCGTCTGTGTGTGTGTGGGGGGGGGGGGCTAAGGGACAGGGCCCCTTGTCGTCCAGGCTCCTCTGAAGCTGGGGAGTCTTAGGGGTACACAGTGTCTGGGCCCCTGACGGGTGTGGCTGCTCCTGAAACTGCCCCCTACTCTCTGCTTGCCTTAGGAAAGGAGGGTTGGAGTAGGGGATGGAGGAGGGGAGGGCCACGAGGCTGGGAAAGGAAACCTCTCCTTATTTTGAGTCCCTTCCCAGGAGACAGCCATCCCAAAGGGAGGCCCCTGCCTCTGCCCAGGACTGGGTTGTGGTAGCCTGTCCTGAGCTGCAGTCCACAACTTCTGCCTCCTCCAGGGTCCTACTCCTGCACAGACTGCCTTCTAGAATCCCACCATCCTCCAGGCGCCTGGAGGATGGGATCAGGATCTGAACAGCCTGAAAATCCCCAAGCAAGGGATCTGACAGGCATGCCACTGAAGCCCTGAGCCCCATCCTTGCCAGTGGAAGAGCCAGTTTTCGCCTCCCAGCTCCCGCCAGTAGCCCCCAGCCTTCCCGAGCCCTCACACCTTTTCTCAGCGCAGCTCTGCTCTCTGTTCTGCACTGCTTTCCACCACCTCTCCAGAGTTGTCTGCCTCCTCCCTCCTCCAGTCCTTGGCTCAGCCCTACCAGTCACACAGGTGATACGGTTGCCACCTACAGGAGGATGTGTAGGTCCTCTCCGAAGGCCTGCAGCTGCTCTATGGCCAGAGCCCAGCCACGGTGAGAAGACTGGAGGGAGCAAATGGGAGGGAGAGCAGATCTGCTTCTTTACTCGCTGGCGGTCAGGGGGCTTGGGGTGAGGAATTCCTTTGTGCAGCCGTCCCCATTCCTCAGTCCCTCCTCCTATTCCCCTCCCAGTCTGGGCTTTGTCCTGGTTCAGGGAGGCGAGGGCTGAGGGCATGGGCAGGCGGGAAGCTGGGGGTTGGGGGGTGGGAGGTGACCACACAACTTGGCAGTGAGAGGGGCCCCAGCCAGTTCCTTGGAAACACTTGCGTGTGTATAAGAAGTCTAGTTTCAAGCTCCCTTGGGAGTGCAGCCTTAAGTCATTAGCCTCTCTTTTCTTTTGGGCTCCTACTTCCACTCTGCAAGGTATATCTATGAGACGTGATTGCAAGCTATGTCCTAAACTCTGGGCAGCAGGTTGCCCTGTTTCTGGACCAGGGATCCGCATGGGCCTTCCTTGTGAATCCTGGATGACACTTAGCAGCCCTCCCTCTCCCCTAGCACCCCACACAAGAGATGCTCATTCAGGACATGCTGAGACTTGCACCATTCCTGCTGCTTTGTCCCTGGCGCATCTGAGTCTTTAAGAATCATTTGCAGAGTGTATAGTGTGTTGGAGTCACAGGCTATTGGAAGATGAACATATACAAAAGATGTGATTACTCCAGCATCAACAGGAGAAGGTAGCCTATCAAGTTGTAGAGTCAGCTTAGTGTAAAGCTAGGGGTCTGTGCGAGGGCTGGGGGGCTGAAAGCTGACTTGATGGGTTACCTTAGCTGCATTCTAGCCAGTGAGGTGTTGGTGGGAAAGGAAGTCTTCTGGGGGAGGGGGATAAGTCCTCTCCCCCCCCATGCACTGGATTTCAACCAGTGAGAAGGAAGACTAGCACGAAGACTAGCACTCCTCTGCCAAGAAGCAGCCCCCTCCCTCTTTGCTTTCCCATTGTATCCCAAGGCTGTAGTTGGCAATGGCAGAGGCTCCCTTGCTCCCTCAATTAAAATGCAAAGAGAAGTAGGGCTGCTTGCTGGCAGGGGGCCAGGGAGGGCCAGCAGGTCACCCAGTCCTCTTGGGCTTCATTGTAGGCAGGTTGTTCCATTTCCTTTGCTTGGGTTGTGATGGATTCTAGTCTTGGTTTTCCAGTTCCTGGGGATGGTTTGGGAGCTTCATAGGGTTGGGGGTAGGGATTCACCACGCATGGATATGAATCCCAGAGCTTACAAGCTCCCAGAAGGCTAGAAATACAGTCAGCAGTCTGAGTGTGACATTACAGGGCTGGCTCCTTTCTAGCTTTTAAGCAGAGATGGAGAACCCCCTGTGCACAGTGAGGAGTAAGCCTTGCCCCTCCTCTTCCCTTTCAATGGAGAAAGCAAGGAGCCAGTGCTGTTTTGTTCTGGCAATGAACAGCAGTGTGGTTCCACACCCATTAATCAGGCTGCAGGGCATTAGAAAGAATTGAATATTACACCTGGGTTCAATTTCTAGCTCTATTACTCAGTAACTTTGTGACTCTACGTAAGTCATTTAACTTCTTTGTACCCCAGTGCTATACTTTGGTTCTTAAATGTCCCCCCAAAGGCGCATGTGTTAAAGACTTGGTCCCTAGCTGTGTGCTGTTTGGGAGGTTGTGGGATCTTTAACAGGTGGAGCCTGGTGGAAGGTCTTCAGTTCATTAGGGGGTATGTCCTTGAGGGGATAAGTGGACCCCAGCTGCTTCCTCCTCCTCTTTTTTGCATCCTGGCCATAAGGTTTTCTTTATTTCTTCAGTACTGGGGTTTAAACTCAGGGCCTCACACTTGCTAGCAGGTACTCTACCACTTGAGCCACTCCACTAAGTCTTTTTTTTGTGTTGGGTATTTTTGAGAGTGCTGGCCTTGAACTGTGATCCTCTGATCTCTGCCTACTCAGTAGCCTGGTAGGTGGGATTACGAGCAGAGCCACTGGTGCCTGGCTGTTTTTTTCTCCATCACATGCTTCCACAATGATGTGCTACCTCACCACAGTCCCAAAGCAATAGGACCAACTAACCATGCATTGGGTCCTTCCAAAACTGAGCCAAAATCAATCCATTTTCTTTAGTAACTGATTATCTCAGATATTTGTTATACAGATGTGAAGCTGACTTCATCTGTAAAGTACAGACTCCTATCTACTTTGAGCATTTTTTTTGTGAGGAACAAATAAAATTATGGCAGGAACATGGAGATGCTTAGTAAATGTGCTCCAGATTCTTTTCAAATCTGGAGGCCAGGCAGGTTCTAGAGTGGCAGTCAGGCCACCAGTCTTGCCAGTGTTACTCCCATTTCCTAGGGCAGCAGAGCAACATACAGATACAACATCATGCTCTCCTATTGAATGCTATCCTTTGGGAAAAGGATAGTTAGAAAGAGGTAGAAGGCTGGGAATGTAGCTCAGTGATAGAGCACTTATCCCCAGCACTGCAAAACAACAGCCAACCCACCCACCCACCCACCCACTCAACTAACCAACCAACCAACAACAACAAATAAAGCTAAGAAACTTTCCCAGAAAAGGCATAGAGGCTTGGGAATTTATAACAAACCTCCTTAATAGTTTTCACAGGCGCTGAGGAATGCAGGTTGACACAGAAGGATCTTCACAAACAATAGATGGGCTAAGGTTTATTTATTTACTTAACATTTAAAAATGTTTCATTCACTTCAACAACATGGCAGACAGTTGGGGGTCCTGTTAAAACAAATTAAAACCCAGAAAGAGTCAAGACAGGAAAGATTCCAGCCGCATTCCTGAGGTGAGGTGAAGGAACTGAGCCAGGCCTTCCTTCATCCTGGGACAGGTTTCTCCATTAGGCTGAGAAAGGAAAGTCTCAACCTCAACTCCAACAGGAGACGGGTTCAATTGCTCACAAAGGAAAAAAAAGCTAGATCATACTGGGGACTGGTTCCTGAAGAGTCAGTGGGAAGGTCAGTCAATTCTGCAGTAGGTGGGTTAGCACCTTCTGGAGAAGAAAAGTCTGGGGGGCAGGTCGCTGAAGACTAAGGGCCAACATTCAGTAAAGGTCCCCTTCCTTTCAGTAACACTCTGTCCTTTTTCTCAATTATGAGAAACCTGAAATCCAGAGAAGTCACTAAAAAATTCCTCCTGGCTGCAACCTGAAATCATCTCCCAATGCGGACTGAGGGTAGAGATGATGACAACTTCAGTGGGCCTCTTCTTCAATAGGCGAGCAGCCAGAGAAGAAGCTGGTATTGCTGGCCAGAGTTCGCTTCTTTTTCTTCCCTGGGGCCTTATTTTCTTGGGATTCTGCTGCTATATGCTTCAGTTCTGGGAGGTCAAAGGAGAGAGCAAGAGCAGTCTTGTTCAATAGCACCTGATCCACATCACACATCTCTTTTAGGATCTAGGAAGGACAGAGACAGTTATGAATAGACCAGCCCAGCTGAGTCACTGCAAAGTCTCAATACACTACCAGTAGTACGATGCGTCCCCTAAGACTGCACTATTATGTAAAACACTTTAGCCTATGCCCAGTTCCCAGGTCCCAGGGAGCTGAGTATACCTTTCCCTATCCCCTTTCTACCACAAGGCTCTGTCACAGCTAATGTAGAGCTGGATGTGAATATAGTCTTCCAGCGCCTGCTTTTAGCCTACCTACCTTGCTATTGGGGGTGGCGCAGACGGGGTTGAAGAAGCTCAATCCTGGGGTCACCTCTGTGGGATCCTCCAGTTTGAAGGAGCCTTCAGAATCCTGGGTCCGCTCAACAGTACCCAAGCTATCCTGAAAATCAGGCAGACAAGCATAATTTTAGCTACTGGAGTTATAAACCCAGTCCGCACCTCTTTATCCAGCTATGAGTACCTCATCAGTCAAGTCTGAGGGAGCCCCTGCTGAGAACGTCCCTGAAGGAATAAGGCAATATCTTGGTGGTAGCCTCTGAAGGCAAAGGTCTGAGTAGGATAGTGGCACAGGACACATCACGAGGCAAAGTTTAAAATAAAGCCAAACCTTGGTCATTGAACTTCCCCTCTCTACAATCTGCAATAGCACGCCTGCATTTGTATTCCTATCAGATAAGGAGACTGAGTCCAAGGCAGTGAAGTCACTTAGGTAACAAGGTGACTCTGCAGAGATCTGGGATTGGAATTAAAGTCTGTTGTCATGGAAACAGAGCTGGATTAAGAGTTAGGAAGTCTTAGGTCTAACCTTAGTTTTCAGGACCAGCTATATAATATCAGATGAATCACTTAAACTTATCTGGGTTTTAGTTTTCTTTCCCTATAAAATGGAAGCTTTGGCTTAGATTAGTGTTTTTTTACAACTGAAATCCTAAGAGGAAACCCAGTCTGTAAGTAAGTGAACAGCAAGTTGCTTTGGTCAAAATGGGGGTTGAATTGCTTCAGGCTATGCCCCTCTGCCCAGAGGCCCTTCCACATGGCTGCTACAGCACTCTAAACCCCCAAGGAAAAACTATGGGAGTAGGGAATAAGTTTTTACTACTTCTATGACTCTTAGCCTTACCTCTAGCTGGTGACTTTAGTCCTCTGGTGCTTACCTATCTTAGAAGTCTTAAATAGAAGGCCCAGGACAAAACTGTTTAAGTGTAGATGTTCAAGAAATGCATGATAAAAGATCATTACAACTGCTAGAATTATTGTATTTCACATAGAGAGCTGTAGCAATGAGTTTTTGCCATAGGCACAGGTAGGTGTAAGGCAAGTACAGGGAGATGACCTGCTTGCTGATGTTCTCAGCACACATCTTGTTTCCCTGAGTTTGCTATTCCTGGGAGCAATATAAGGAGAACAGATACAGTTAACTTGGTTCACGACAGTGACTATTGGAAAGACCTGGTTCCTGTGGTCTCTTCCTAGAGCCGTGGAATAGCTGGTTCCCATGGAGAGGGTCTAATAACTCATGTCTCAAGATGTCAGAGGGATTAACTTCCTTCCTGGAAGCTGCCACCTCAGCATGTGGCTCTTATGGTTCCAGCTAGGCCTTTGGACTAGTTTGGTTCTGCATGTCTATGTACCTGTAAATGCCTGCTTTCCTGTTTCTTGTTCCTGCCTCAGAAATTGTACAGAAGCTTTACAGCCAAGGCTGGGGGTGGGGAGCTGCATACCTGGGCATCTCCTGGGAAAGGCTGTGATTTCTGAAGGGGTGTGTGGGCAGGTGAGCAGTGATGAAGGGCTGAAGAGTGAAATGTCTCTTTTTCTGAGTGTAGAGGGAAGGAGAAGAGTAGGAAGAGCTGAGCAGGAGACTGCAGGTTTCAGGGTGGAAGGCAGAATAAAAGGGTGGAAAGTACTGGGAAGACGGAAGGGATGAATGATGAGGTGAAACAGCACTGATCCTACCTGGCCTTGTTGGCGGTTCCGACATTTTGTGGGGTCACAGCTGCAGGCCATGCTACAGTCTGACCTTTGCTTCCTGCACCCACACTGCTTGTTCCCACACCAGCCCTTGCAGGAACACTGCAAAACAGGTTTATGCAAAGACACATTACTGAAATGATTAGAAGACTAGTTTAAAGTGTCTTCCTTTCATTTTAAAGCCTTTTCTAAGAAAAAAAATGGAAAGTACCATCATCTTTATCAAACTTTCATGAAAAAATGATCACCAAGATTTACCATAGGTTTACTTAGAACAACTCATGCCAGGCAAACTCATTTTCTGTTTTGGGCAGTATATTGAAAGACACATGAGAGGGCTGTCATAATAATGCAAAGCAACTGACAAAGACTCTTACAGTAATTTTAAGAGCACAGTAAAGAACTGCAGGCTGGATGGTAGTATTAGCTGGGTATGTTTAATGACTACCTAACTGTACTTTCATCCAATTCACAATTCTACATTTTGTCCAGTGTCAGCCTGGGCATTGTCCGCAGCACTTTGGTCATTGAATACTTCAATAAATAAAACCATTTACATTTGGTAACACTTCACAGTTTTTTTTTTGGTGGCACTGGGATTTGAATTCAGGGCCTCATACTTGCTAGGCAGTTGCTTTTACCTCTTACAGCTTGAGCCACAACTCCAAGTCTTTTTAGTGATTTTTTTTTTTTGAGATAGGGTCTTGAGAACTATTTGCCTAGGGCTGGCTTCAAAACGTGATCCTCCTGATCTCTGCCTCTCAAGTAGCTAGGATTACAGGTGTGAGCCACCCACACCCTGACACTTTATACAGTTTTTAGAGTACTTTCATAAATAAAGTATGGTATTTCATTTGAATCTCATAGCCAGTCTACAAGGTAGGCATGTTTATCAGCTATAACAATGGCACAAAGCTGGGAGAATGATTAACAGGTAAGATAACATATTCATAATCCAAAATATCTTGGAATTATGTGCTGAAAGAAGGAAAAATACAACAGGATAAACCTAAGCTTGTTATTTAGATGCCCTCTAAATTGGCTACATAAACATACAGGGAGATCTAGCTTCAAAGTAGTTTGTGCAGAAAGGGCCCAGGGATTTGAAGGGCCAGCAAGCTCTGTGATTGTGTGAAATGGCTGTCAAAAAGCAAATGGAGTTAGGCAGAAATTTGGAGTTCAGAAAGCATGGGGGATAATTACTTCACTGTACCGAGTCAGTTGGCCCCCATTTGAAACAATGCCTCCTGTATTAGGGAATCATAATTTTTTTCATGTATACAAAAGCATAGACAACAATAATAATAAGAAAATCCTTAATAAATAAAATGCAGATATAGCTGAGGTTTCCTGTTTACCCTTTCCTGACTGCATTTGCTTCCCTCCCTCCCAGAGGTAAACATTCTCCTGAATTAGGTGTTTAGCATTCCTATTCATGCCTTTTACTACATATGAGTTTTACAAAACATGTTAAGGAATTGTCTCATATGTTTAAAATTTTACACAAATGGTATCTTATGTCGATACATGTAGCTCTAGTTTTTACTCTAAGAATGTGCCATAATTTATCCATTCTCCTGAATACTACATTTTTTACTCTCCCAAACAAGGCCAACATAGTAAAAATGTATCAGGCCCAGTTATAAAGTTTTCCATGTATTAAACCCATTAATCAATATGCATGTTTTCTCATACACAGGCAGGAGTCCACTGTGTATATATATTTTTAATAAAGAGAATATTAAACAGAAGAGATGGAGTTATAGGACACAATGCCATAAGAAAAACAGTGGAATGGATGGAACTGGAGGGTATTATGCTAAGTGAAATAAGCTAGAAACAGAAAGACAAGTATCACATGTTCTCTCTCATATGTGGAAGCTAAAAAAAAGTTGACCTGAATGTAGAATAGTGATTATTAGAGGTTGGGAAGGGTGTGTGTATATATGGAGAGTGGAGAAAGGGAGGCTGGATTTGGTCAGTGTGTGCTGTACATATATGTGTAAATATCACACTGAACTCCATTAATTTATACATGCTAATCAAAAATAAAATAATTATCGCTTCTTGGCCTTTTGGGTAAGAACAAGTGTAGTATCTGTTCTTATCAGTTTAATATCTGATATGTCCTCTATCTGAGGACAAAATATTAAATGGACTTTTGGGACTAGGAGATGGAATAGGAGCTTTCTCTGTCCAGTCCACGCATCGACCTGGTATTGCACTACTTCCAGGAACAGTGCACCAAAAAAAAAATAATAATAATTATATAAAAAAGAAAAATGGTGGAAGAAAGTGAGCTAGTTTGGCTTGAAAGACATATAGGTGGCAGAGCTTACAGATAAAAGATTAGAGTCAGAAGAGACCTCAATGACCATGTAAAGCCTTGTTTAATCCATGAAGCCTCTCTTTAACATCCCTGGTTTAATTGTCAGAAGCACTATTTATGTTGAGATGATAATAGTTTCTACCTAAATTCTAACCACAGGACCCAATTCTTCCATCCGGAATGACATGGGATTAGTTTAACCTCACTCTTATAGCACAGCCATTCAGACCATAACCATATTTTCCAGTCCCCCATTCAAGTCCTTTCAAAGATAAAGGTAACTTACCTCCCTCAATGATTTTCCAAGTGTCCTAACTGTCTTGACTCTACAACGGTTTGTCAAAATCATCTTAAATTATGAGATTTAGAAATGAGCACAACTTTCTTAATGTGGTGTAACCACTGTAAAACGGATTGTGACAAACACCTTTCTTGTTACAGATCCAATAGTCTGGATGACAAGGCCTTTAAAAAATCAGTTTTTTTTCTTTTGGTCACATCTTTGTGGATTCATATTGAGTTTACAATTTACAGTAAAATTCAAGCCCTTAGGTATTTTTCATATGAAAAACACCACCTTTGATCTGTAATTAAGAAGGTAAAAGAGGGCTGCAGGTGTGACTCAAGCAGAAAGCTCGGGATTTGCAAGCTCAAAGCCCTGAGTTCAAACTCCAGTCCCACCAACGATAACATCTTTTATTTCCCTGATTGTGAGGATGCTACATATTACTTTATAAAATTTGAAAGTCAAAAACATGATTTTTAATAGCTGTATATATTATTTCATCATGTGGACATGTCAATTATCTAACTGGTCCCCTAATGTTAGGTATCAAATTGTTTACTACTACAGGTCATGTTGCAGTGAATATTCTTATACATGAATATAATCTAAACTTCACCACATCTCTTCCAAATCCCCTACCTTACTTCTTCTGCTTCTCAACATGTTCACACTGGCATTTTCAGCTCATTCCTGCTCTTAGGTCTGTGGATTTACTGTCCCTCCAGCCCTCTTTTATTGTGACAGAGTCTCACTATGTATGTAGCTCATGTAGCTCACACTGGCCTCAACTAGCAATTCTCCTGCCTCAGCCTTCTGAGTACTGGGATTACAGAAGTGCACCACCATGCTCAGTTCTTCCCCTTTCCTGGAATGTTCTCCCTCCTATTCTTTTCCTGACTTGCTCCTTCAATTTGTTCAGATCTCAGCTTACATATCTCTTCCTTTCCCAAGCTCTGATTTCCCACCCCATCTTTCTCTATGACTTCGCTGTATTTTCTTTTCTTTTATAAGATTTGTTTTTCTGGTTACTATGTGTCTCTCCCCACAAGAATGTGGTTCATGATGGAAAGGGTCTTACCTGTTTTGTTTGTTGTATTCTCAGCACCTAGAAACAGTGCTTATTCCTAGCACATAGGTATTCAAAAAAGATTTGCTGAATGAATACATCTATTTATATACCAATGACTATTTCCTTAGTAAGTTACTATGTATATAATTACTGGGTCAAAGGATAAGAACATTTTTTTTTAGTATGTGTACTGCTGAAATGAGCATGATAGCAACATTTTAAGGCTTTCAGTAATATTTTCAAGTTGCCTTCCAGAAAGGTATACCAATCTACACTCCTAATAGCAATAGAAAGGAATGCCCATCTTAGTCATCTTTGCCAACATTAGACATAATAATAATAATGAAAAGACTTTGCTGCTTTGAATAATACAGAACAAAAGGCAGAGTTCTATGACATGTCCTGAAAGACACTTTACCAGGATGACATTGATCCATTGATTGCTGTAGTCTGCTTATGGTCTTTCACCCATTTACAAATTCATCTACATGTTTCAACAATGTGGTTACCCTATCCATGTTTCCCTATTGTATCCAAAGGGGTAATATGAGAGCAGCATCTGAAGGGCTGTCATAAAGACGAATGATGACTTTTACATAGCCAAGACCCACTGGGATGATTTATAGGACAGCATATTTCAGCTAAACAAAGGAGCACCTTTCTAACAGTTAGAGGCATACAATGGGCTACCCTGTGAGACTGTGAGCTTCCCCTTACTCTAGTCTTCAAGTAATCATCAACTAGATAAACATGTGGTAGTGGTAGTATAGACAAGTATGACACATGACAGATATAGTCATATGAAAGCCATGTACATGAGCTATAACTTCACCCTTGTCTCTCTTATTCCAGGAAGCAGATTAGAATGTTAGAGATTTTGACATAGTTATAACTGTAAATGTATGTGTGTCGCATCTGCTGGCAATCCACCAGCATGTCCCAAGAAGTAAATAGAAGGATTCTTTATGTAGAGTGAAAAACACAGCTGAAAGACCTCTGGGGATCCCTTCAGCCCATGGTTTCCTATGTGTACATAGGAAATCTTTGGGGAGCTTTTCTAAAATGCCAGGTTCTACCATTGTCCAATTAAATCAGAGTATCTGGGGGTGGGGTGCTAGGCTCTCTGTGTTTAGAGGCTCCCTTGGGGATTCCAATGTGCAGCTAGACTTGAGAACTTCTGCTTCTATAATTCAACTATTGTATTGTTTCTCTGAAGGAAAAGAGCTGATCAAATTTTATTTTAAGGAATACCATGCTAGGGATTAGAAGACTTGGGGTTTAGTTCTAAGCTTAATACGTGGCAGGAACTCGGACAAGTAACTTTATCTAAGTTCATCTCCAGTTTTTCATCAGTAAGGTACAGATAAGAATGTTTGTTCCCTTTTTTTCTGCCACAGGTGACTAATGAGAGTATTTTAAAAATGCTTACGGTGCTGTACTAACAATACCTGCATATTTTATCCTTTATGAGGTGCTTTTGCATATATTCCTTATTTTAATGTCTCAGATACCATATGCCATATAAAGGTAGCATTATTAAAACCCATTATACAACTTTGACTATTACTTTGATTTAAGGGATTAGTTCTAATCCCTCCATTGTATAGATAAGGACTCTGAGGCTCAGGGAGATTAAGTGACTTGGTCAAGGTCATTTAATGAACCAGTGGCAAACTCAACACTAGAATCTATGTCTATCTGGATTTTAAGCTGTTAGTTTTTCTACTATAACATATGACCTATCCCAAAGCATCTCCTTAGTACCAATAGGAAATGCTGCCACAGTCTCCTTTTCAGTAACCTAGTGATAACAGCAGCCATCTTCAGTGGGTCGAAGCAATAATAATAAAGATGGCCTTCATGAGTAGTAGCTAATGTGTCTATGAGCAGTGTGATCAAGAGCAGTCATAACATCCATGTAATTTGAGGTTGCTAAAAGAGAGAACTAAATTTTATGCCAACTTGCTCTCCTTAAAACCCAACTATATTTGTCTCCCAAATTATACAATCGGGGCAAAAGCCTAGGAAAGAATCTCTCTCACTGTTTTAGAAATAGGATTTATCATTCATAACATGTACCATTTACTTGCAATACTTGATATGCTTCAATATTTTCCTTTTTAAGTTATACCAACAGTACTATAATGAATATATGAAGCTTTTCTCAAGGACAAGTATATCCATCCACACTGGTGTCACATTTGGAAACTCCTTCCCAGAGGTTTTAGACCCTCTCCCATTTGTTTGTGTATACTTCTCAACTACGCCTCCTATTACTACACTAAAAGCTCATACTATCCACTGCAACCATAGTGGAGTGTCCATAAATGTTTGTCTAGTTAATGAATGAAAGATAACCATGTTCTGCCTCATTTTCTCTAGTGTCTCAACTCTCTGTTCTATCATCTTCAAGTCTTTGCAGCACACTATTCAGTATGCTAGAAATGTTTTCCTTGTTGCTCTCAAGAATTTATTTCCCTTTCCATCTTATCATGCAGCAATAGTCACCTGTTCTAATGGTATCTTCCTACTTCCTAATCTATACCATCTTTTTTTTTTCAGATTGAGGTTGGAACTCAGGGTCTACATCTTGAGCCACTCCACCAGCCCTTTTTGTGATGGGTATTTTTGAGATAGGGTCTCCCCAAGTATTTGCCCAGGCTGGCTTCGAACCATGATCCCTCTATCTTTGCCTCCTGAGTAGCTAGGATTATAGGTATGAGCTACTGGCACCCGACTATACCCTCTTAATATGGCTTTAAAAACCAAAAACCCCTCAGCCCATCTTCCTGAGATGAATATGCTGAGGTTCCAGTTATGCTTCTATTCTTTGCCTTCTTTCCTCATTAAATTATAAGCTTTCTGAGGCCACACATGAGCTCTCATCCCCACTAGGAGCATATGGTATGCTGTGTTCTTGATGACTCTGGCTGACCAAATAACACCACATGGTTGTCTATTCCTTCTGACTTGCTTTGCTCTGGTGTTTAGTTTTACAAGGCTCAGTACCCCATGTGGTGGGCTATCAACTAATCAAATCAATTAAGCTTCTAGGAAGCCAGCTAAGATAATCTGTGAACTGTTCTTTATAAATGGAATGTGGCTGCAGGGCACAGTTGGGGTAGTGGTGGTGAATTCTAGTGCCTAGTAAGTTAATGTTTCAACATAAAACATCCATGTTTGATAATTATGTAGCACTATCATTGTGTAAGTAAATAAAGTATGCGTTAAAGTTAAATTATTCCTAACTAGCCTGAATATGGTGTGTTTGATTTTAATATTTTTTAAAAATAATTCCCTTTGTCTCTTAGGAACAAAAACCACTCTAATAAGCAAGGAAGATAAAGTACCCACTGAGCTTCTAGTTTGAGTTTTTACTGACATGAACATAATATAGTAAAAACAAATGACTTAGAGTTAAGAAAATTCAATTTTAAGTCATGCCTGTCACTTGCTTTTATAACCCTGGGTAACGACATTTCCCTCCTGTAGGTCTGAAGTCTGTCAGATGCAAAAAATAAACACCTCACTAGTTTTGGTGATAAAAACATTACATATATAAGAATAGTTTGTAAAGTGCTATAAAAATATGAAGGACTGGTACGATCACTTTGGAATCAGCTTCCAGGAAATGGTATAGGACATTACCTATTTAGACTGGCAAAAGCCTGAAGAAACAGAATTAATTTGTACACCAGGCCTCTATGCTGGCCCCAGGTTGTACATGGAGCTGGCCCAACAAACCCCACTCCTTAGTGGAGTCATGCCTCTGAAAAGGATCCAAGTGCAGGGTACGGGCCAGCACATGCCTAGATTCAAAAATCTATCCCGCGCTGACAGTTAGCACTAATGAGAAGAACCCTTGACAAGGTCAAAGAGATGGCTCTTACCCCTTGGATGGTCTTCCTGGACACTTTAACTAATTTTTTTGGTTTCCATTCTTCATCATCCCCATCATCAGCATCAGCATCACCATCACTGTCACCATCCTCATGCTCATTCACAAAATGCTCTGCATAACATTTTAGATCCTTGATGTCCATGCTTTGCTCCAGGAACTTTTCTTTAACACGGGAAGGTTTTGGCTAAGAAAAAAAGTTTGAAGTGGTTATTTAATAAAAGTTAAAAAAATACATATGGCATCCTATCTTCCCAGTAGCTGTGCCAGCTATATTTTCAGAGTAGAGATTCCAGACATTTTAAATATACCCTACTTGGCTTTGCGAATCAGAAAAAATTCTGCTTTAGCCTTTGGCCTTGTAGAGTCTTTGAAAAGATAAAAACTGGAGGCTGATCAATCTGAGGGAGGAAGGGAGGATTCATGATATAATGAGATAATTATCTCTGGATGGACACAGCTCTTTTCTCCTGCTTCTCTTCAGTTGAGTTATTTAACTTGTGTGCATGGCCACAAGTCAACCTTCTGAAGAAGGAGAATGGCTATTTCTCTTAGGATTGTATTATGGCTTTATCTGGGACTCCAAGAAAAATTGAGATACTGGAATTTGGGAATTTTGACTCAGATTCTCATAAAAGGTGACTTTAGCATACTCAACCCAAACTTGGACTATGCAAAGGTATCATAGGCACTCATTTTACCTTAGGTGGCATATATTCAAAGGAAGAGTCTGGAGATTGGAGGCCATCCTTAGAAACATGAGGGTTCTGTCTGCTGGCTACTTGGAAGAGAGTAAGTTTCTGTTCAAAAAGAAGAGATAAAGTATATAATATAAGCAGCTTCTGGGAGTGTTCATGGCTGAATAACAATGATTCCAGACCCCATCTAGTTCCACTGTAAACCACAGTAAGGTTCAGTTTAGGCTTATAGTAGAGTAGGTTGAAAGAGTCTGTTTCTAAGATCAGTATTGGATTTGGAAAAGGGCATATTTCAAAAACTTGTGTTTATACCACTTCTAAAAGCACATGACTGGATCACATAGAAATTCAATGCACACCACACAAAAGTCAAGTCACCAAATTGATGGTTGCTCCCAAGTGCTGGCCTCGGTGCAACAGGGTCTTCCAGGGATTATCAAGTGGGTGGTAGGCTGTATTACCTGCTTGAGGATTTCATTCTCTTGGAGAAGCTGCTGATTTTGCTCACACACGTCTTGCATCTTCCTAAGCTCCTCATCCTATTTGCAGATAGTGAAGTGATAGGTGGGGTTATTTTGGGTACTACACATGGGTTACCAAACAACTGACATAGATGAAAACATACTGCTGCCAAGTTGCTGGCAGCAGATGATTTTTGCGCAGCAGGCATTGGGAACATAGAAAAATGTCTTATTCCCACCTCCTAGGTGCCTTGAATGCTACTTCTATTCCAATGCTCCCTGACCACACTAGTTAGAACCACAGGCTATCTGACAAGCCTTCCTTGTTCTTTTCCATATTTTAGCCTCATAGCCCCTATTTATAAGAGCATGCTGATTCAGAAATCCACAGGGTTAGCTCGGTTTCCTGAAGTCTATGAGTGCTTCTGTTCACCCTTGTCAGCATAGACCAGACAGTTTATTTGCTACTCTAACATGCCTGATTAAATCTCCAGGCACTCAAGTCAACTGGATTCACACACACAACCTTAACTAGTTTATGGGTTATGTCTTATGTGGGACATGCCAAGAAAGCATGAGAGGCTGCTGGTGTAAGAAAAAGATTCTAAGTTGGACTAAGATGGTGCTCCAACATGCTACTAAAGGGTGTGGTGTTCCTGGTCTCTGGAAGAAATTCAGACCCTAGGCATTTTACAAACATGTCAGGTCTCAGCTTAGCAGAATGAGCTCAGGAAGATATAAATCGAATGCCCCTAGGATTCTAAGTAACTACCAGAAGATTTCACTTCCTCAGTTCCTTAGAGCTCAGGGTTGATACAAAAGAACTAGGAGGCCTCAAAGTCTACTATGGAAAATATACATACTGCCATTTCAGTACCAAAAATTAGGTTATTCTGAGTGTGGCTACACTGTGATTATCCCTAACTGGATCAAATAGAGCCACAAAGCAGTAGAGGGTATCATTTGAAGCCTTGCTTTAATAGTTAATGACTTTCTGCTGTAAGTAAGTACAGTGGTCTAAATGAGACAGGATTCTCAGTCATGCACATGAAACCCATCTCTGGAGGCCTTTCCTGCCTTCTCATACCTGGCATTTCAGTCTGCTCAGCAGTTGCTGTTCTTTTTCACTAACTGACTCCTCCGGCTGCTTCTCTGCCATTTGGTTTTGCTGCAGCTGGCTGAGAAGGTACAGCACCTAGAGAAAGACACAACCCACTAGATGGTATCAAAGGAGCAAGAAGAAAAAGGAATTTTGACCTAGTTCAAGCAGTGATCCAAATGGCTTGTGATTTCGAGGTGAACTGTTGTCTGCTGCTCTCAGAGTTTGAACGAGTAAACATAGCAACAATATTTCTTGGGCACATTAATCTTGGGACTCAAATCAGAGGTTAAGAGCTGGTAGGTGTAGACAATTGACTTCTGTTCAAAAATTTGGAAAAGCCTTTGGATGTAAACTGTTATCCCCACTACTTTAAGACAAACAAGAAATGGCAGCAGTAGTTTGTGTCTCAGTAGAGCTTCTTGGCTTGCTGGAGTTTACCTTCTCTTGCTGCTGCTGATCCACTCTGGCTACCTCAGCTTTTAACTCTAGTTCTACCTCAGCAAAATGATTTCGCTCCTCGAACAGCATCTTCTGCATGTCAGCACAGCTGGCCTTGCTCTGTTTTAGGCTGCTTTCAAGCTTGCTGACCTGTATTTTGGAGGAGACCAGCTGGAAGGATAAAAGAAGATCATTTTATTTGAAGAATGACCTACCTTCCCCATTCATTAGTTAGGAAAATGTCAGCTTTCTGAAAATGGTCTGAGAAAAGTTCCTCTATGTCCAAGTTCATTATTACTTTTTCACGCCACATGGTATCTAACATTGAACAGTAACAACACTATTATTCTATTGCTAGGCCAAGAGCCCATATTTCTGCTGAGACATGTGTCTTACAGCTAGAAGCCACTGCTAAGATAATTTTAACTCTTGTTCTGTCTCAAGGCAGGAATAAACCTAAAACAGGTAATATCTAACAACTCCAAAATTCTGATATTTAAGGAGTTGTTCCTTAATTTTAACAAGAAATCCACAGGACACACCCTTATGGCCAATTCTGTCTCAGAATGTCTGTTCACATGTCAGAACTTGTTGACACATTAGCTGAAACTGTGGATCTGGCTCTTCATGCTAGATTGATATCCTGTGCTGGCCTACTTTACATTCACGACTAGCCCAGATGGCAAGCATCGTAAATACCAGTTTTCACAAGATTAATCAGGATTCCTCAGTAGAATAAATCTGCTAACCCAACACAAAAATGGATAAAGGGTAGTACTGCTTGAAATTGTGGATTCAATTTGCATGCTTGTCTTGAAGGAAAAATGCCTCAATCACCAGAGGTGATCAACTCTTATTCTTCTTGGACAATATAAGATGATACATTATTTTAAGGTCAGTAAAGATGGCTTTTCCTTAAAATAAATTTTTGTATGTCAAAATATGTTTAAATTTTCTCTTTTCTAGATTTTATCTCAAACTTTTTGAATGTACACCTCCTAGGTGTTTTAAAAAGTAATACAATATAATAGTTTACATTTAACTAGTAGCCCAGTATGGCATCCTGGTCTTTTCCTACTAACAGCTAACATTTATTGAGCCCTTGCTATATGCCAGGCATGACAAGTATCAATTTGTCAGTCATATTATGTTTATAAGTGACTGGACTGTATTTGTTTATAACCAACCTTTACCCACTAAACTCTCCACTGTTAGTGTCGCTGAGGTTTCTAGCATGAAGAGTAGCCAGAACACTATGACAGTAATCCAGGTATCTGATTGCAACCTACCCAGTCAGGCCCCTAATTATTGGTAGGAAGAGTGATGCTTACCTCTCCAACTAAATATTTCAAGGCACATTTGGCTTCCAGAATTGTAGCAATAGTTTCCCAGCGTTGTTTTGGCCTGTCTTCACTTTCTGCATCCAGAAGCTTTTGCTGTAGGTCAGCAATTTGAGCACTCCTTCAGGGAGAGAAAGGTGAGTCTTATTGTGAGCACTCTGATACCATGGAGAGGGGAAGAGCTCTGAGCAGAAACTTCAAAGAATTTTATGAATAGAACTATCAGTCAAATAATCAGTTAAATAATCCTTTAAATAATGATTAAGCTGGGTGCCAGTGGCTCACACCTGTAATCCTAACTACTCAAGAGGCAGAGATCAGGAGGATCATGGTTCAAAGCCAGCCCGGGGAAATAGTTCGCAAGACCCTATCTTGAAAAAATCCATCACAAAAAAGGGCTGGTGGAATGGCTCAAGGTGTAGGCCCTGAGTTCAAACCCCAGTACTGCAAAAAAAAAAAAAAAGACTGAGTCATCTGGTTAGAATTTTACATGTATCTCAAGACCTATTACAAGAGATTATTCAAATTTTTAACTTTTATTAAATACTGGTTAAAATAAAATGGGTCATATATAGTGGGACTTGGAAAGATCTATTATAATGAGGCTTCTGTTGTAGTGGATTGAATGTAATATGACTTGGTCATCAAGTTATAGAAACTCTCTGTGGTCCACCCATGCAAGGGTAAGATTTAAGTGGAGACCAGAAGGAAAAATCTCAAAAGAACAAACAGGTGGATGCTTTTTGCTAGATCAACTACCAAATTGTCACCTATGATTGGTTGTTGTGAGAGGTTATCTTGAAGTACCTGCTACAGGATTGAGAAGTTTCTAAGACTAGATAGCCTAACCCTGGTCATAGCTTCCAGAATGTTCTGATCAAACATGGCCTAGATCAAAGTCTACACACTTATTTCAATTTTGTTAATGGCTTCCTTCTCAAACTGCTGTGTCTAGTGACAGGGAGAATACAAGCATTTGCTTAACATGTATCACTATGTTAGGTACTTATAAGGAAGATGGGTACAAAAGTAACCTAAGGTAGTAGTTACCAAATTTTGGGGTCATAGGACACCTTCATATTTAAAAAAACTGAGGATATCTAAGAAATTCTGTTCACATGTTATACCTGCAGATATTTATAGTATTATAAATTAAAACTGAGAAAAATTAAATATTAATTCACCTAAAATTACAAATCTATTCTACACAAAAATGACTTAGTGAGAGGAAGAAGATGATTTTACATTTGTGCAAATCTCTGTAGTATCTGGCTTAACAGAAGACAATTGGATTCTTCCATCTCCCTCTGCACTCATTGTGGCAGTTGTTCCAGTTGCTGTAAATGAACACAATCTGGCCACATTATATATAATTTGAAAAGGGAGAAGTATTAGTGGACTTTTCATATAAATGTGGGCATTATTCTTTAAGCCTACACTGAAGCTCAATGAGTGGTAGTTACTTAAAGGTCAGTTGCCATGTAGAATCTGAAACTATTATTATTTTTGGCTTTTATTTATTTTTTAAAATTAAACTATTTCAACTGATACATTAAAACATAAAACCTGTGTGGATCAATAAGTTACCATGTGATGTTTCAATATATGTATGCATTGTATAATGTTTAATTCAGGTTAAACACATCTCCTCAAACATTTGTCATTTCTTTATGGTGAAAACATTCTAGCTTTTTGTTACCTACAGTTATACCACTGTGCAATAATAACAAATCAGAAATTCTTATTCCTATTTAACTGTAACTTAGTACCCACTGATCAACTGAAACTATTATAATTAACTTTTTATACTTGGTTATATTAAAACCCTTATGATGAGTTAATTTTTCCCTGTGAATTTACAGTACATAAATTACGTCCATGTATATGGGAGTGTGTGTTTAAAGCATATATAAAATATATAGTTTCATAAACATCAGGACAGATGTCTTTTGACATAATTTGCATTAGAAACAACATACAAATATGTTAAACAGCTGAAGATTAGGCTGTCTTTGAACTTCACCAGTGATTAACTTTTTTTTTTTTTTTTTTGGTGCTCATGGGGTTTGAACTCAGAGCCTCACTGTGCTAGGCAGGCACTCTACTGCTTGAGCCACTCCATCAGCCCTATATTTGTGTTGGGTATTTCTGAGATAGGGTCTTGAGAACTATTTGCCTGGGCTGGCTTTGAACCTTGATCCTCCAGATCTCTGTCTCCTGAATACCTAGGAGTACAGGAGTGAGCCACTGGAGTCCGGCAACATGATTGTCTTTAGGGAAATTATGAGTCCATTGCTTAAGTAAAGGTGTGAGAAAGTAGGAAGTGAAGGTGTAAATGAGTTGGCCAGGCCAGGGTACAAGCAAATAGTCGATGCCCTCGTTCAGGTTCCATGTGCTCGGAGCTAAAATAGAGATTACTATACAAGGGACAAAGTGAAGTCGGAGTCTTTGGGGGAAGAATCGAGAAATTTGATTTCAATGGCTGAGAGCTGGGGATAAGGACCAAAGATTAGGAACAAATGAGGACGACTGTGAGCAATCACTACGAATAATTATTCAGTTTGGGATGGTAATCGCAAGGCTGTTAATTGGTTTTGAATGGCTTGAAATATAAATGGATCCAAGTTGTTTCCATCACATTTGTATTTGTATCAGAAACAAACCAACCTAACCCATTTTTTAAATCTTGCAGTCTGAATTGATATTTTACCCATACACAATTATCCAACATATCTTTTTCCAACATATCGTTTTTTTTGGTGATGCTGGGGTTTGAACTCAGGGTCTCATGCTTGCTACTTAAACCACGTCCTCAGTCCTTTTTTTGTTTGTTATTTTTGTAGTCTTGTATTTTTGTCTGGTGCTGGCCTTGAACTATGATTCTCCTACCTATGCCTCCCATGTAGTTGGGATTATAGTTGTGAACCATCACACTCAGCTTGTTTGTTGAGATGGGGTCTTGCTAACCTGTGCCTGGGCTGGCCTCAAACCATTATGCTCCTGATCTCTTCCCCCCAAATAGCTGTAACATGTTATTTTGACAATATTAGTCCATGGAGTCATGCCAATCCTCCAAATGTTAACATCTTATTATATATTTTAAAAATTATAATATTATTATATATTTTATTTAATTATATTTATTTTAAAATATATTATTTAAATATTAAATATTTATTAAACATTAGACATATTATTTAAATATTAAATTATATTTAATTTATAGTTAATTTAATTAATACATAATATTGTTATATATTTTAAAAATAGGGCTGGGGATGTAGCTTAGTGGTAGAGCACTTCCCTAGTAAGACCCTGGATTTAATCTCCAATATCATAAGAAAAAGAAATCACATCTATAAATACCATTACTGGTCTAATCAGAAAAGTTACAAAAAACTGTTAAGTTTATGGTAGAAAATACAAGTTTTTCAAAATTCTAAGTTTCGCTTGAAAGCTCAACGTTTTCTTTGGTAACAAATATTTGTCAGTTGTTTTTCATCATACCAGTTATTAAAAAGATATGAGGATGAGGGACAAGATTTCATAAAATTAACAAATGTCACAGCTTTATCAAAATCACTCTTAATTTAAAAATCTTAAGTGGAGGCCAGGCAGTGGTGTTATGCACAATGACTGCTGGTTTACGTTGGTGCCATTGCTTTCATTCAGCCTAGGGTTTTGTCCATTATTGTTTTTGCATTATCAGTGCAAATACAAACATAGTAAAATGGCAAATAACGTCTTACTATTATTATGAAAATACTTTTGCCCATTGAGACTCCCTAATAGGGTCTTGAAGATTTCTAGAGGTCAGCAGATCGGACTTTGAGAAATCGGGTCTAATGTGTAGTCCTTTTCTTCAATAAGCTTATATAATCTGTCTTTAGACTGACAAAACTAATAAACGTAAAACAAATACTAAAAACAAAAATAAAATATGTCATCTGTGCCACATAACTGAGTACCATGAGTTCTGAAGGGGTTAGAAAAAAGGAAGATTAGTGAGGGATGAAGAGTGGGAAGGCTTCTAGAAGAGGCAACCACCTATCATATGACCTTTATTATTTTTTCTGACAATTTGTGTCCCTTAACTATTTCAGATTTTAAGTCTTATCAACTTTAGGAAAATTTTTTGATTGAACCCACCCTAGGGTAATTCCTTCTACTTGGCACCTGCACTATGTTTGCCTTCTGGTTGATGTGGTGTGCATGTGAGTGTTTGACGGCCAGTCCTGATTTTTGGCTTTTGCTAGTTTTTGTGGTGTAAATACTCTCATCATAACCAATTATGAGCTATCAATAGTTCACCACATTCTTGACATTTTAACAAATGATTCCAGCGTATCCCTGTGAGTAATTATACCATGTCTACTTGACCACAGGGATAACATTGTTTACTCTTTCTGTATATCCAAACTGTATCCATGCACAAAGCAGGAACTATAGGTGTATCTAAAGATAAACAACTAGCATGTACTGCTATCACCAAATTAAATGATTTCCAAGGTCTTCTGGACAATAAAATTCTATTATCCTAAGACACTATAAAATCTCTGTCAAAGTTCTATTCCTTCCAGATTTCACAAACTGCTTAAAAGATAGTAACAATGACTAGAGAGGCTGGATAGCATAATTTCTGGTATTAGACCTAGGAGGGAAGAGAGAACATTTACTTATGATATGCCAAGTACTGCTGTGTACAACATAATTTACTAATTTCGTTTAATGGTCATGATAACTTTACTTATACATTATACTACATTATATCCGTCTTGGGAGCTAGAGATGTGGCTCAAATGGTAGAATGCTTGCCCTGCAAGCACAAGGCCCTTAGTTGAAACCCCACTACTGCCAAACAACAATAGCAAACACCCCAGTATATCTATTTTGCCGATGATGTTTAAAGTTATTCTTCCATGCTGTTGCTCTTCTGTAATCCTATCTTGGGTTACTCTAAAATTCTGGGTTTTTTTTGAGACAGGGTCTTGCTATGTGGTCCAGGCTGGCCTCAAATATGGGATCCTCTTTCCTTAACCTCCTAAGTGCTGGAATTACAGGTATGTGGCACCATGCCTGGCTTAACATTCTGTTCTTACTTCTGTATTTCAGATCATTTGCTACATAACAATCATAGTACAAAGACCATAGGCTTTGGAATTAGTTAAGAATGGGTTTTGAGCCAGGTGTTGGTGGCTCAAGTCTATAATCCTTGTTATGTGGGAGGTAGAGATTAGGAGGATCATGGTTAGAGGTCAGCCTGGGCAGGCAAAAAGTTTACAAGATACCATTTCAACCAATAGTTGGTGGCATGCACTTGTCATTCCTGCTACATGGAAAGCTGAGATTGGGAGGATTGAAGTTCCAGGCTAGCATAGGCAAAAAGCTTTCAAGACTCTGTTTCCACAGAAAAGGTTGGTGTGGTGGTGCATGCCTGCATCCTAGCTACAGTGGGCAGCATCTATCTATAAAGCAGATCATGGTCCAAGCTGGTCTGGGCAAAAAAGCAAGATCCTATCTCAAAAAATAGCCAGAGCAAGGGCTGGCAGAGTGGCTCAAGTGGTAGAGTACCTGTCTAGTAAGCGTGAGGTACTGATTTCCAGCCCCAGTACTGTCCCCCACCTAAAATAGCCAGAGTACAAAGGCTGGAGGCATAGCTCAAGTGGTAGATCACCTGACTAGCAAGTGTGAAGTCCTGAGTTCAAACCCTAGTACCACCAAAAAAAGAAATGGGTTTTAATTCCTAGCTCTGTTGTATTAGCTAATCTATACCTCTGGCAAATTTCTTAAACTCTCTAACTTCATTTTAAATTTCTAAGACAAGAAGAATGGTACTTTACAGGGTATCAGAAGGACTGAATGAAAAAATGTATCTAACATGTCTAGCACAGTATCTGTTCAAAATATGGTTACTTTTTCTTGTTTTTCTAGCATTTACAAAGCTTTTGTATAACGAGCTTTGGAATCGCTAGATTGAGAGGTTCTATTTTTGATTCCAGGCATAAATTTCTATGCCTTAGAAATAGTCCCATTACCTGAGTTCCATTTCAGTCTCTAGGCTTTCAATCTGCTTTGTAATAGAATCCTCTGACTCCGCAACTTGACCACGCACTTCATCACGTGAGAATGTGCGCCTCTGTAAAGAAGAACAGTGGGCATGAAGGTGAAGTTTAAAAGGCGAGTAATCCTGCAGAGGAGTGAGAACTTCTGGCGAATTCAGAGCCTGATTCATAGCGATACTCACCCGGAGTTTAGGAGGCGGATTTTCCCCAGACTCCTTTTTTTCTTTGAGCTGGGCCACATCTTGCGCCAGGATCTTTCTGTCCTCAAGAAGGTCATTCAGATGGCGTTTGGCTTCCTCAGTACTGACCATAACCTCAATTTCATTTCCAAGCCAATTCTAGAAAACAGTGATTTCTGAGTGGAGGATGAAGAATCATTCATTGGTCAATAGGCTAGATTCAGCTCTAAACTTAATTTCTTTTGGATCAGAGCCCAGTAAATGAGATCTCCATTTGTACCAATATTCACCAAAAATGCTAGTATCTTTTTTTTTTGGACGGGGGGTGCATTATTGAGTTTTGAACTTAGGTCATTGTGCTTGCTAAGCAGGTGTGCTACCACTTGAGCCACACCTCCAGGCCTTTTTGCTCTGGTTATTTTGGAGATAGGGTCTTGCTCTGCCCTAGGTTGCTTTGGACCATGATCCTCTTATTTTACGTTTCCCACCATAGCTGGGATGACAGGTATGTACCATCACACCCAGCTTTTTTCCATTGAGGTGGGGGTATCTCATGAACCTCTTTGTCTGCAGCCTGGCTTAGACCCACAATCCTCCTGATCTTAGCCTCCTATGTAGCTTGGGATGAGAGGTGCATGCCGCTGTGCCCAGTTATTAGTTGAAATGGGTCTCAGGGACATTTTACCTGGGCTGGCCTTAAACTATGATCCTCCTGATTATAGGTGTGGCCACTGGTACCTGGCTGCCAGTATCTCTTCAAGAGTCCTTATCAGCAATATCCCAAAAGGTCACAAAAAAGAGTCTTTCTACAGACAACCTTTCTCCAGATACCTTACTATTTTTAAGTGACCTGTCTTTACTTTCTCCATTTTTCTCCTTAACATTTGTTCTTTGCCTTTAGTCACGACATAGAAGTCTATTATATATAAAAAATATATAACCACCCTTTACTTTTTGGTGGTAATGGGGATTAAACTCAGGGTTTCTGAAACCACCTGAGCCATGCCATAGTCCTTTTGCTTTTAGTTTGTTTCTCAGATAGGGTATAGTACTTTTTGCCAGAGCTGGCCTTGGATGGTGATTTTCCTACCTCTAACTGTGGAGTAGCTGAGATTGTAGGTGTGCATTACCATGCCTGGTCTAGATATTCATTCTTTTTAAAAAAAGATCTTGTCAGTTAATTAATTACTTAATTATTCAGTACTGGGGTTTGAACTCAAGGTTTTGTGCTTGCTAGGCAGGCGCTCTACCACTTGAGCCATGCTTCCAACCTAGATATCCTTTTTAGGTTTTTTCTTTCTCTCTCTTTTTTTTGGTGGTACTGGGGTTTGAACTCAGGGCCTCATGGAGGTGCTCTACCACTTGAGCCACTCCACCAGTCCTTTTTTTGTGTTGGGTATTTTTGAGATAGGGTCTCCCAAACTAGTTGCCTGGGCTGGCCTTGAACCGAGATCCTCCTGATCTGCCTCCTGAGTAGCTAGGATTACAGGCAAGAGCTACTAGTACCTGGCTTAGATACCCATTCCCACTGGTTAAAGTAGATGGATGGGAATTTTAAGAAAAAAAAACATAGTTCACTAAGTTCACTTAAAAACACTAAACAAGCAAACAAAACAAAACACCAGTAAGCATTTTTGCTTTTGATTAAGATATACCATACTAAGAGGAATCAAAAGAAAGCTAGAGTGGGTATGTTAATATCAGGTAAACTAGAATACTACCAGGGATAAAAAGGATTATTTCATCAAGGTAAAGGAGTCAACTGCTCTAAGGAGAACATAATCCTCAATGTTGATAACCCTAAATCACCAAACTCTGTGAAACAACATCATATGTAAGTCAACAAAGAAGATGGCAGAACCAATTATATTCTGTCTATAAGAACCATACTCTAAAAATGAAGGCACAAATAAATTAAAAGAATCAGGAGGGCAGGGAAAGATGGTAGATTAGAATATTCCTCTATGTGATTCCATGAATAAGTCAGGGTAACAAAGGACAGACTTTATTCTGAAGAGAGAAAGAACGTCAGCAATCGCAAAAGAGGTGACAGGACAGTTAAATAGCACAGAGAAACAGGTGACACAGAGGAATGTAGCAAATAGCTTGAAGTTTTGAAGTTCTAACCCTGGTTCCTGGCTGGGCAGTGTGGTGGGGGGGAGGGAACTGAAACCACAACCATACCCACAAGGCAAGCCAGCCAAACCTGGTGACAAGAGACTAGCAGACCATGTCACAAGTAAGCACAGATTTCCCAAAAGCCTTAAATCCAGTGTAGATTTCTGGTAAGACAGTGACTCCTCCTGAGTGACAGGCTAGCATTGGAAGAGAAAGACATACTGTCACTTCCCATATCTCAGAGAGTTATAATAAGCTGGTCTTGAGATGAAGCCTGTTGTTTAAAACTAAACTACTCAGCTTAGGGAGCCTGGGGACACCTTGCCACAGTGTCTGGGTGAGAGATAGTCATGAGAGATGGTCATGGAGAGGGGAGTGCCTGACACAGACCCACTGAGAAGTTCAAGCAATAGGGAACTCAGGCAGTGACAGGCACATTGGTCAGTGGCCCCACCGTCCCTGGTGAGGGGAGGTTCCATCACCTGAGGATCACTGCAGAACAGAGCTCTGAGCCATTGGCTGGTGGAGTGTTTGGCCTCTGGGAGCTGCCTCCTGGCTGTGTGTCCTTTACTGTTGTGTGGGACCTACAGCCCAGAGCCCAGGTCCTGTAGACTACTCACTTTCTGTAGGCTGCTCCCTCTCAAAGAGCAGTTAATAGCTGGGCAGAGTCTGAAAGCACCAAGACCCCCAGGCAAATTGCCTGATTCCTGTGGTTCTCCCTTTCTAGTGCAGAACTCAGTCCTCTATTTGCTCACCCCACTCTCCAACACATTTGGGGGACACCCTTAAGCTTGGATGCTTGCTGCCACTGGGGGCACAAAGTGACAGATCTATGGAGTGAGTGGGAACCTGCCTGGGCCACAGGCTGAAAAGCTCCTTGCAGCCAGCAGCAGCTGCCCAGACCAAAGAAGGGAAGCTTCTAAAGCTGAAGACTGCAGCTGACCCTTGACCAGCCTGCCCTCAGCCCACAAACAGCAACAACCTGCACAATAGGAACTGTAAGAGACTCAGCTAGTTTGTTTCTGAGTGGTCTTGGGGATCAGGCTTGGTGTCCTTAATGTGTGTGAATATTCGGCTGCTAAGCTACACCCCCAGTCCAGTGGAGAGAAACTGAACCTCAATCCAGGCATAGGGGTGTGGCTCAAGTGGTAGAGTGCCTGACTAGCAAGCACAAAGTCCTCAGTTCAAAGCCCAGAACCACCAAAAAATTTAAAAAATAAAAGGCTTCTGCACAGCAAGCGAAATAATAAACAGAACACAGAGACAAGTCTTTGCCAGAAATTCATCTTATAGGAGATTAAATATCCTTCATATATAAAGAACTAAAAAAAGCAAAGAATCCAATCAATATATGTATAAATGAAGTGAACAGTTTTGAAATAAAAAGTACGAGTGGCCAATGAACACATGAAGAACTGTTCAACATCCTTAACCGTAAAAGAAATGCAAATCAACACTGCACTCAGATTTCACTTCACCCAAGGCAGAATGGCATCAAAACAAACAACAATTGCTGGCGAAGATGTGAGGGGAAAGAAACTTCTAGTGGGAACATAATTAGTCCAGCCACTATGGAAATCAATATGGGAGTTCCTCAAAAAATTAAAAATAGAACTCTGATGTCATCCATCCATAACACTTCTGGGTGAATACCCCAAAGAGTCAAAGTCAGCCTAGCATAGACAAATCTATATACGCATGTTTATTGTGGCACTATCCACAATAGCCAAAATACGGAATCAGCCTAGGTGCCCATCAATGGATGAATGATAAAGAAAATGTGTTCTGTATATACATACACAATAGTTTACTCAGCCATTAAGAAGAATGAATTTATGTCATCTGAAGGAAAATAGATGGAACTGGAGATCATCATGTTAAGCAAAGTAAGACAGACCCACAAAGACAAGTATTTCATGTTCTCTCTTATTTGTGGAAGCTAGGGTAAAACCAAACAAAACAAAGCCATGAAAGTAAAAGCCACAAAGGAGGTGGAAAAGAAAGGGGAAAGGGGGAGGGAGGGAGGGAGGAGGAGGAGGAGGAGGAGGAGGAGGAGGAGGAGGAGGAGGAGGAGGAGGAGATTTTAGAAAGAGTAATAGAGGGGGTGAATATAAACAAAGTGTATTATCTATATGCATGGAAAGTTAGGATGAAACCTCTTACTGTGTACAATTTAATAAACACCAATAAAAAGAGGGAAAAGGTAAAAAATTACCACACTAACACTAATTCAAAGCAAGTTGTAGGGGCTCTATTAATATCAGAAAATGTAGATTTTAAACCCGGGCATGCCAAAACACCAAAAATCGTATGTTCTCCCTCATATGCGGCCATTAGATCAAGGGTAAACACAACAAGGGGATTGGACTTTGAGCACATGATAAAGCGAGAACACACAAGGAAGGTATGAGGATAGGTAAGACACCTAAAAAACTAGCTAGCATTTATTGCCCTCAATGCAGAGAAACTAAAGCAGATACTTTAAAGCAACTGAGGCCAATAGGAGAAGGGGACAAGGAACTAGAGAAAAGGTTAGATCAAGAAGAATTAACCTAGAAGGTAACACACATGCACAGGAAATCAATGTGAGTCAACTCCCTGTATAGCTATCCTTATCTCAACTAGCAAAAACCCTTGGTCTTTCCTATAATTGCTTATACTCTCTCTTCAACAAAATTAGAGATAAGGGCAAAATAATTTCTGCCTGGTAGCAAGGGGGTTGGGGGGAGAGGGAGGGAGTGGGGGGGAGGGTAAGGGAGGGGACTTGGGGGGAGGGGGGAGAAATGACCCAAACATTGTATGCACATATGAATAAAGCTGGGCATGGTAGTGCAGGTCTATAATCCCAGCACTCAGAGGCTGGGGCAAGAGGATTATTGAGTTTGAGGCCAGTTTGGGCTATATAGACTCTGTGTCTTAAAAAATGAAACAAAAACAACAAAAAAGAGAAAAAGTAAAGTGGGGGGGAGTCAATTAATAATAGACTTCAATAATAGAGCTTCCAATAATAGAGCTTCAAATTACATGAAGAAAAAGCAGAA